ATATACATAATAAATATACACAGTACACACACATATATTAAGTAAATAAAAACTTTTATTTTAGATGCGATTAATCGCGATTAATCATTTGACAGCACTAGATTGCAACAATATACTGTTATCATTGTAGCTGTGGTGTGAACTTCCGCATTCTCTTATAGTTATCATCCTTGGTATGAACGGGCCTTTAGTCTCTGGGATCGTGCGATCTTCGTAACGTCACACGACTGTGCTGATGTCCTCCGGTTCGTCCGGTATCTTGGGCTTGCTGGGAAGCGATTTCAGGTACTCAAGGTGTCGTCTTGCGTCTTCCTGGTTCTGCCGTACATAGTACACAACGTAAGAGATAACCATCGCGAACCAGCCGAACATGGTCACCAACATGGCGTAGTCGGTGGTCCGCTTGGCCAGGTTGCACAAGTCCGCGTCCACGGCCAGGAACGGCTGGCCCTCCTGGTCCCTCAGCTCCGAACTACGGCACAGCACGCGCGTGGCGGCCTCATGGTTGTGGGCCATGCCGCCCAGCGCCTGCTGCAGGGCACAGTCGCAATGCCAAGGGTTGTTGTCCACCATCACACGTGCCTTCAGCCGTGCGAACGCGTCCTTGTGCACACTAGTGATCCGGTTGTGCGAAAGGTCCAGCACTTCCAGAGAGCCCTCCAATCCGACGAACGCCCCCTCGCCGAGGGTTTCCACAGCATTATGGGAGAGATTGAGCCTCCGAAGCATCCTCAAGCCATGAAATATGCGATCGGGCACTAGAGATATGTGGTTTCGGTCCAGCTGCAGCAGCTGGGTGTCTGGCGGGACGTCGGGCGGGATCTCCTTCAAGCGTGACAGACTACAGGTGACGTTGAGGCCGTGCGGAGGGCTTTCGGAGCGCTGGCAGGTGCAACCCTTGGGACAGGTGCTGGCAGACGGAAAGCACAGGACCATGAGCACCAGGCTCTGCAGCAGCAGACACATGGGGATGGAGCGTGAAAGCCACAGGTCCAACGGCGTCATGCTGACAGACAGTCAACATACTCGACGCCCGGGCCGTTCACGGGAGCCCCATAGCGGGACCGCGTCATCACCAAGAGCTGTGGGTCTCGTCAACTCTCATCGTCTGTGTGAGCCTGTGGAGAGAGAAGACACAGTGAACGCATACACTAACAAGTCAACAAGTTAATTTATGGGTGGGAATGACACCTCTCCTCCATCACCTCTCGAAGAGAATGTGCCACTGAACACAGGGAACATACAGACCTCAGAGAGGCTTGTCAGAAAAACTGACATCAGTGTAACACTAAGCGCTATGTGGCTTACTCAAGTCTAAGCAAAATCTACTGACAGCTCTGTCAATGGATAATGTATGTACATTTTCCGTTTTTATGTTTTAGTGAATGTTGAGTAAATATACTAAAAATGATCATTTGCTTATATCAGGAAATTGGTGCACATCTGAGTTATTATTATAAAATTTTATATAGGCTGCATTTATTTGATCATGACGAAAAGTAATATTGGGAAATATTACTACAATTTAAAAGAATTGTGTTCTATTCAAATATATTTTCAAATGTAAATGTGCCGCTGAAGAAACATTTGAAAATAAATTCGCTTACATGACATGGTTTTTTTTTCAGTTTTTTTTTTTGGATTAATAGAAAATGAAAAAGAATATAATTTTTTTGAGATAGAAATCTTTTGTAACATTACAAAACGTCTTTAGTGTCACTTTTGATCAATTTAATGTGTCTTTGCTGAAATAAATTCTGAACTAATTTCTTTAAACACACACACACAGCCTATATATTATTATATTATTAATATTATATAAAATCAGCATTATTTTGGTCACCCTGTAAATATTGGGCATTGACAACCCATATTGTTCAATCACTAGTATTTACAGTAATTAGGGCCCGAGCACCGATGGTGTGAGGACCCTATTGGAATTGCTCCGTTTCTTCTTCTTCTCCAATGTGAATCGCATTTTTGAGGGCCTAAACATGCTCCAAAACTCATGAAACTTTGCACACTGAACTAGCGAAAATTTACATCTGATATGGGTTTCAGAAGTGGGTGTGGCAAAATGGCTCTATAGCGCTACCTGTATGCCTCGAGCTACGTTTTACATACATGTATGAAAATTGGTACATACATGTAACACACCATTACCTACAAAAACGATTTTTGTGCAGTTTTTCGCATTTTCAGGCCTCGTACTTTGATGAACTCCTCCTACAGTTTTAATTGGATCATCTTCAAATTTGGTGAGGATTATCTTAAGGCATTTGTGATGTTAAATTGCGAAGATCTTGAGTTTTTGTCAAAGGGCGTGTCCCTGGCGGCCTGACAAAATTTGATGTTTCGCCATGAAACAGGAAGTTGCTGTAACTCCGGCAAGCAATGTCTGCATGCTAGAAACATACTAAAACATGCTAGCAACACTTAGCTAAGTGCTAAAGCATGCTATTAATGCAGTGAAACAGGACGTTACTGTAACTCAGGTATGCAGTGTCCAATCTGCCCCAAATTTTACAAGTTTGATAAGAGTCCTGTCCTGAACACATCTACATGCCCGTATTCAGTTATAGGCATAGTTAGAGGTCGACCGATTGATTTTCGGCCGGTTTTTGGCATTTTTTAATTAATCGGCATCGGCCGATTGTGCTGCAAATTAGGCCAATTTATAGGCAGGCACATCTGCGGACAGCTAAGCGTTGTTGCGGAATGCTGGAGAGGAGAATCTCTCTCTGGCTGCGTGAGAGATGCTTCTTGTTCACACACAGTTTCAGCTAATGATGGCAGGGCAAAACAGACTGCTTCGAAAGCGTAATTACGTTTTACCCTACTAGAATTGATGCCGGAAAGTTATCATATTCATAAGTGCAACAAGTCATT